ATGAATCTTCATGAATACTAAAGTATGTTGTCCTTTCTCTAGAGTACACACCTACACACCTACTTGCTGGGTCACAAGGTAAATCAACATTTAACATTTTGAGAAACTGCCAAATGTTTTCCAAAGCAGTTACACCAATTTACATTCCCACCAGTAATGGCAGAGGGTTCCAATTTCTCCACATCCTCACGAACACTTTGAGTACAGAAACCCTCGTGGATGTGAAGTGGCACCTCATTGTGGTTTCCCTAATGACTAATGCTGCTGAGCATCTTTTCATGTGCTTGGTCATCAGTCTTCTTTGGAGAAATATCTTCAGATCCTTTATCTTTTTTTAGATTGGATTATCTTTTTATTATCAAGTTGTGAGAATTCTTGATATATTCTGGGTATTTCTTGTATCCTTTGAATGAAAGTTTTTAATTTTCATGAGTGTTTTTTCTTTCTTTCTTGTGCCATCTGAGGTTTCACTTACACCAGGGTCTTAAAGGTATACTTTTGTTTTCTTCTAAGGGTTTTGTATTCTTAGCTCTTGCATTTAGGTCTATGATTCATTTTGAGTTAATTTTGCCAATAGTGTAAAGATGGGTCCAATGGCCTATTCACTGCTTCTGGATATGCTTTGAAAAGATAAACCTCTTTATTTTGAAGTACATTATTATAATTACAGTCATCTGACTCCCAGTTAGATTGTTTAAATACTCAAGAGTATACAAGGTGACAGCTCGCTCACAACACTGCAGCTCTCTAACACTCAGTGCCTAGGCCTATGTCCCAAGGAACACTCAGAAATATGGAGTAAATGAAGCAATGATTTTATTAATATAAATTCTACAACTCCATGAATACAGGTATTCCCTCCATATTACTTAGGCTCACAGCAGTTAAGCAATGTATGCCTCATATGTCCCCTACTCACTGTGCTAAGCTTAGGACCCAGGGTATACACGTGCTCAGCAAATTTTCTGTCAAATGAACAGATAAAGCCCAGAGAGAAATAGTAGGCTGACTAAAGTCCAAGATTTATACCATCAGGCCTCCTTCACTAAAGAATGTTTGGGCTGATGAACAACTGAGTCAAGCACACAGCAGAAGCCCCTCTTCCTGGGAGAAGGAAGTGGGCAGAGGTGTTGTCTTTCACCCATTGTTCTGAAGGAAATGTGATCTCCCCTGGGAGAACAGAACGCCCTGACAGCTACTTGCAGGGCTCAGCGCGAGACTAGACAGATGTGTCCTCAGTCTGTCCCATGCCCTGGTTTCGGGTGAGTGGCTCTGGAGGCCAGAAGTCAGGCTTGGGTTTGGGCAGAGTCTGGGAGCAGTCACCCGCTCATAATGCTGACAGGTGGAACAGGGCTCCAGGACCAAGCTTTGACTCCTGAAGAACCAGTGCTGAACACACTAACGAGGTTTAAGTGTCTTGGGGGAGAAGGAAGAATTGGTGGCCACATAGATAAGAAGACCAGGGATTCAGCCTGTTTGATACAGCCAATTGGAATATGGAAGTAAAACTCTGGTTAGCTGAAACATAATTTTCCCCAAGCTGTACTGTACTGGAGGATAGGACAGATGAGCAGAAGAACCTGCCCTGGGGAGATACACAACCCAGACATTTAAGGTGAAGTCCAGCCTAGAACCTTCTTAGTATAAAGAACAGAGTAGGACAAATGGCAGATTCAGCCCTGCCCCTTCAACCAGGCAGGCCCCCAGCCCCTTATGAAACAGGTCAACCTCACCCACATGTTAGGCTGCTGTCCAGAACGCTGCTCTGATGTCTGTGAGGACTTCTGATCTGCTCCTGATCCAGTCAGCATGTGAGCTTCACTGGTTTTCCTGTTCATGGACTGAGTGCCTCTCCTTTCTGCTGAGGCTTAGCTTTGGTTCTCTCATCTGACCTCCACACTTCTCTTCTAGAAAAGGATTCCTTTTCCTGCCACAGGTTAGCATGCCCCTTCAATGACCTTCAAACCCTGGCAAGGTTTGAGTATGGAAGGGGAACTCACACCAGCAAGGGGGTGTCAAGGAGGATTACCTAAGGCATGCAGCATTTGAGCTGAGACTGGATGGCTGAGAGATTAAGCAAAGGGTGAAGAGAGACAGACACATGTGTGGTCTGTGTGGAAGGCCTGCCCCTGGGACCCAGGAAAGCAGGTTCCTCAGAGAGGCCGAAGCACCTCCCCTGTAAGTAGAAGTGCCTCGAGCCACTGCCCTTTACTATCCAGAGCTCACCCAAGGCTCTGAGACTGGGAAGCGGAGGAGATGGAGCAGACACACACCAGAGCCCCAGGGTGGGCAAGGGGGTAAGAAGGGGAGGACAGTATTACTCACCAGGTGTGATATCACTGACCATACTGATCATTCACATGAAGACCCAAACTATTGTTACTTTTTAAATTGAAAATGGGACTTATCCCCCAGAGGGCAAGGACACAGAACAAGAAATTAAGAGTAGCGTGAAGCACCTGTGTAGCACTTAGAACATAGAAAGGCTGATTAAGGATCTGCTGTGGGAATTCAAGAAAGTCTCCTTCTATCAAGTATGGTCAGGCTTTTCCCAGACCTACCTCCAGGCCTAGCTGTTAGCAGTAAGAGCTGTAACTGGAAGGTTACTTGTGTTTTTTTGAGACCAGGACCCAAGTTACTAGGCTCCCTACCAAAGTCCCTCTCCTCCCTCCACTGCCAGTGAAGGCACACTCATTCATTTGTAAAAGAAAGTGTCTTATGTGAAGATGGAAATATATCTTAAGTGAGGCCTCCATCATCTTAACTTTGTCTTAATGAAATAGCCTGAGTGACCCTAACTGGGTGATTCCCCAGTTCAAAAACTCATGTCTCCACTCATAAAAATTCAAAACCTCCCACTAACGCATTCTCAGACTCGCACATTCCAGATTCTTTCAAATTCCCTTCGTTCCTAAAACCCTGCAACCCTGAGCACCTCAGCAGCATCCACAAATTCCCTGGTCCCAGCTGCCAGCCAGCCAGGTTCTCCTGCCCCATCTTTGCTCATCTTGTTCCTAGCTCTTTGTTTCTGGGGGCAGGTGAGAGGGAGAGACCACCATGCTGAAGAACAAGGTCTGTGCCATGCTCGTCTCTGATTCCCTCAGATAGGGAGACTGTGAGTCATCATGACCAAGGGAGATGGACAAGAGAAGACAGGAGAAAAGCACGTTAGAGACTGGGGACACATGAGCCCCTACAGATCCTACCCTCACAGGCAAGAAAGCAAGTCACGTGTGCCCCATAAATTCATTTAGTTTCTCTATTCGTTGGGCAGGTGTTGAGTTGCTACTAGAAAAGCATGTATTTGAAAGAGCTAAAATAATCAACGTGGACCCTCCGTGGTGGCTCAGCAGGTTAGGACACAGCCCTGCAAGCTAACCACAGCCATTTCAGTGCAAGTTCGATCCCAGCCCTGGAGGTGACTCACATGCCACGGCAGACCTCTCCTGACCTGCCCGCTGCTCCCCTCAGCAGTGTACTTCATCAGTCAGCCTGTTCTGCTCCCCACTCTATCTCTGGTGAATCCTCTCACCACCCCTGCACCTCTGGCCTGTACCCCAGTTTTGTATGGATAAACAAATAAATCTTTTTTAAAAATTAATCAACATTTGCAGTCTAGAGTAAAACAGTCTCCTCTGGGTCCTGGAAAAGTGGATTCACAGCCTTGCTGCTAACCCTGGCTGCCTCCATTGTGCTGCCAGAGAGGCAGCCTGGCCACCTAAGCAGTTACCAACAGGAGCGTCCAAGGTCAGCGGAGGCCTGAACAGAGTGGCGCCCAGCCAGTTCCTGCCTCCTTACTCCCTCACACGGCAACAGAAAAGAGGCTCATGTTTCTGGAGGAATGAAGATGCCATATGCAGGCTGCAGTTATGAATGGCTCTTATAACAACAAGCTGACATCTGTGCTTGGTTTTTAAGATGCATCATCGCATGTTTATTAAACTATTGCTCCATCATATTTATTTGGCTACGAAACAACTCCCAGCCCATACTTCCAAAAGTGGTTTATTAAAAACTAAGCCGTGAACATTAATACTCAAAAGCACCCTTGAGAATCAATAATAATGCTGCAGATAGGAAAGGGAATCAAAGCAGTAAGTCTTGGTGGGGGCTGTAGTTGCCTTGCAACACATTTCAGGCAGCTGGAGAGGGGAAGAGCTCCAAGGGTGTGTGGCACTGGGTGTGGGAACAGTCAATACCTGACTCCCTGTCTAAACTGTGGAGACAGTGCCAGGAAAGCAAGGGGGGGGGGGGTGTCCTATGGCCACCTAGCTCTACACAAAGAGATAAGAAAGCTAAGATCAGACCCAGCGGGACGCACTAGTTTCTCCAACTATAAAACCTCTCACTAGCCACCAGCTCCATACTGGTGTTTATGCTGACCCCTGGATATGGACTCTGCGCTGCCTCTGAAACTAGGCTAAGCCCACGCTGAGTCCTGCCCCCCACCTATTAGAACAAGCCTCCAATCCAACATGCCAGTGGGGAGTGGGAGAAGCACCCAGCCCTGGGGAGGGGCCCAGCATGCGCACTGCAGCCCAGCAGGCAGGTCTGCCAGGTGCCAGGAGCCAGCAGCAAAGGTTTCTTTCAGCTCAGCTCCCTTCCAACACCATAAGCCTTGCCAGAGGCCCACCTGTACCCCATGCAGGCAATAAGTAATAACACATGGCCAGTACCACAGAGAAACAAGAACAAATTGTAAGATTCAATGAAGAACCCATGGGATGTGGAGGGGATTCTCACAGGATGGGTTCATGCCTTGAGAAGAACAAGATAGCAGAAAGACCCGGGTTTGGGGCAAAAAAAAAAAAAAAAAAGAGAGACATGGGGTTGACTCTCTACCCTAAGGTATCTACAGGCTGACCTGAGCAAAGGAAGCCCAGGTGACTCCGTGACTGAAGTCGGAGGATTCAATTCCTGGCTTTGTGAGGATTCCCTCCAAGGCAGCCATCACCAGAGGAAGGGGTTCATCCCGCTCAGCCCCTCCTGAGTCCACTCACCTTCTGACTTCTTGGACATTGTTGGCGCGAGCAGCTTCCATCAGGGCTGCATCTAAAGAGAGAGGGGGCACTGGTCAGACCCTGGCCAGGTCTTACCCCTCAGGGCTGCATGGAGGGCCCAGTTAAGACAGGAGAAGTAGAAATGCTTCAGAAACACATCTTTAACAAGGGAAATGATGCCAAGACATTCAAAGAGAAAGTTATTCATCCTCTTCCCACATGGCCTCCAGCATTAATAACTTCCCTTCCATATCTTTCTATTATAGAGCCCAAACTCTCAACTCCTTTCATCCAGGAAAAGCACTATCACCACATGTGCCTGTGGTAAATGTTCAATGTGTGAATTCCTTCACTCTTCACCAACTTTTTATGTTGGTGACCATGGTTTTTATGTGACCATGGTTGGTGCCATTAAGCATCCCCTTACCCCGCTCCACTTTCTCCCCTACTCTAGTTTCTCAGTCCAGCTTTGAATCTTGATGGCACGTTATACTCTCAGTAGGAGGGGCATGTTGTGGAACAGCAGGCAGGGATGTGGGCCCACTGAGTGGAGGGAATCTGGCTCCAACACACTGTCAACCACTCCCCATGTGAGGCAGCAGCCCCTTTTCCTCTCAACCCTAACTCTTCCTTGACTATAAAGCAGAGGCAATAATCTCTGCCTGGCCTGCTTCCAAAGAATGCTGTGGAGAAGGAATGAAGAAAAATCTGCAAACTCTCTAGTGCCACACCCAGCAAAGGAAGACCCAAAGCAGAGCTCAGATTCCTTAGGAGTCACCAGGTCCAGTAGAAAAGCAGTGCTAAGCCTGGCCTGGCTAGACAGCTTGCAGGCTGTTGACACCACCTTGTGGCCATAAAGAAAAACTGCAAGACACAGAAAAACTCAAATGTTTGCTTCTGAGTTCCACTGTGGGCCCTGGGAAGATTCATACCAAAACCTGCTTTTGGGATGGGCACTACAGAGACTGAGACCCAGCCCAGTCCATGTCTCAGCCACTGAAACATGAGAGGTGGCACTGGAGCGGGGTGAAAACAGCTGGAATACAGAGCTTGACTCCAGTCCCAAATCTGCCACTTACCTGCTGTGTTACTTGCTCACCTAGCTTCCCGAGCCTCAGTTTCCTTATATGCATGGTAGGGATGAGATGCCTGTGCAAACAGTTCTGTGGTTCGAACATTCATATCTTCATCCTACCTCCTAACTAGATTCCAGGGGGAAGACTTTCTGGTTATCTTCCCTGATTGCTAACTACACACCCAGTCATTCTCAGGCAGCTACTAGCTAGAAGGAGAAGAAACCTTCCTCAGACATCACTGTATGCACTTTTCCCTCACTTGACTACAAGGTCACAGAGGAAGAAAAGAATAAGCTGAGGTTAGAACCAGGTTCTGCAGATTCTGAGAGGGCAATCTCAGCTACAAGGCACTGAGGGCCTTGCTCACAACTCCAAGTAAAGGAACAAGGATAACTAGTAAGTCAGAAGGGCTGGACTGGATAATGCTTTTGGACACTGTCTCCTTGCTGGGATTCATATCCCAAAGTCCAGTCTGGAGGTTCCAAGAACCTCTAAGGTGAGATTTCAGTAACTCCCCTCCAGTCCATCCAAACATACTGGCCTCAGGAAATTCCCTGCTCGTTAACTTTCCGTGGCTTTCCTCTCCCTACAGGAGAAATTTCAAAAATTCTAAATCCTCCTGCCTGATTTCTAGGCTCCAACCCCATTCGTTCTCAACTCATTCCAAAGACTCCCATCCTCCAACCAGCTGGCCACTCTGCTAGCCCCTGCATATACCATGCTGACGTATAACTCCTAGTCTCATTCTCTCTGCACACAAACCTCTGCATAGAATTCAGTACAACTCAAAACCCCTTTACTGAATACCTATCAGGTTTCAGTCACTATGGTAGACAAAAGACTTCAATATATTTGTAAAAGGTGCTTGTTTCATCCTGAAGAGAGATATAATGCATTTCCTTCTTTCAATGAAAAGGAAGTGATCACTTTCCTTTTCATCTTTATCTCATCTTTCAGAACTCGAGTTCAAATTTTCCAACCTTTAGGTCTTCAATCTTCAGGAAGGCTTTCCTAACCCTATTGGCCGGGGGGGGTCTTCCTAACAACACAGATTACTCACCAGACCACAGGCCTAACTGCCTACACTGTCCTCTTAACTGATTTCATGATCTGTTGGGAATTTGCTGCCTAGCACACAGAGGATATTAAAAAAAACACTGAAAGTTACAGAATGGCATGCCCAAATGTGAAGAACCTTTAGAGTCTCTATCTCAAAATTCTCATTGTGTTTACAAAGAAATAGGACCCTGAGCAGGAGCAAGAGTCCAAAGTTACTGTGGGAGCTAGAGGTAGAACGGAAAGACCCCAAGATCCCAGGGGTTCTTACTCCCAATCCATGGCACTGCCTTTACAGCTGACATATCCTGTTGAATAAACAAATCAATGTCAAGGCAGTAGAACCTCCTGCTCCAAATCTCAGAGCAGAGGATGCACACAATCTACAAACAACATGCCTTGGTCTTCCCCATTGAGCAATAACGGAGTGGCTGGACTCAGGTCAGAAGTCAAGCTTTCTGCCTACTCTCCCTGTTTCTGTTCAACTCCATACATCCAATGTCAATCTGGGTCAGCCAGACCCTATAGATGCTATCGTCTTTAAATGTCCAATTCCTTGTCTTCCTTATCCTGCCAACTGTCCCATATGGAAGAATCAGCTCACACTGGAGACCAAACCCCGGGGAGATAAGGAGGCCCAGACCCCTGAGCTCCAAGAAAAGTCACAATAACAAAACTGTAAGAGTACCCTTAAGAGAAGTCACCCTTCACCTTGTAAGCAGGGAAAATGAAGTGTGGGGAGGGGGAGAGACATGGCAAAGTTACTTTGAAACCAAGTCTCTTTCCTTTTTCAGGAGTCCTGAGGAGGGGAGGGGGGGAACCTCTAATCCACTTAGTGGTTGCTCTTTAAACAGGTTGTGGTTTCCTAGAGACTTCTTAAAAGAGGAACTGGATCAGGCAATTTGGAGCATAAAAGGACCATGCTTTAACTTAAAAGGATTAGTCCAATGCTCTCATTGTAATATGGAGGAAGGGAAGTTTACCTCTGAAGGGGAATGATACAACTCAGAGGCACTGCGCTCCCCTCTGCAACAACCGGTCTCCGTGACCACATGATGTCTGGGTCCCTCAAGAGGACTGAGGCTCAGCTGGTTTCATCTATAAGCAACTGTCACTCTCCAAAGATACGATTCAGGACACTCCTCCCGCCTCTCCCTTCCTTGAACCCACACTGTCCCGATAATCACCCTTGTTGGACGGGCTCTTGCTGTAACAGTGAACCACCAGCGCCATGGCCAGGGCCCACATGCCTACTCCGGCCCTGTTCGGGACCCCGTTCCAGCTGTCATGTCCCGGGAGTGTTTCTTCAGGGCTAGGAAGATGTCCCCATGTGGAGGCTGCTTGGCACGGGGTTTCGGTGCGTCCTCCTTGGTGCCCCCCGGTGGCTGCCCTTCCTCCGATGAGCAAGGTGGACGAAATTCCAGGGCACCCCTCGACGGCCGCCCTCAGCCACTGCGGCTCCCCGCGGCCGCCGGAGGTCACACTCCAGTCACAGGCACCTCCGTGGCTCCGGAGCGGTGGGGACCTAAGCAGCTGCAGGAGGAATCGCGGCGCCGGCGCTGTTCTTCTCAACACCAGGGACCCCAGCATCTTGACAGCTGACTACCCCCTGGTGCCGGCCCCTGTGGCGGCCACGTCCAACATGGCTGCCACGGCGCGTTCGAAGACGCCGCGAAGGTGAATGACGCAGCACCTCAAGGGAGTGGTAGTCCACAGCCAGAGATCTTCCTGCCAACAGGAGAACAGATAAACTACACTCCCAGAATGCCATGGAACTGCGTCACAATGACTGCCGACTTACGGGAGCCCGGAGCATGTTGGGAAATGGAGTTCGGGCGGGGAGGCGTGGCAAGGTGGAAAATGCCGATGTGGGGGCGTGTCGATCAGAGGAAAGGTTCCAATCACAGAGCTTCTTTTCAAATTTAGTAACAATGCGCGACTCAACTTCTGAATCGTGTAAATTAAACAGGGACCTTCACCATAGACCAGTTATGAACCAGGGTTATTTCTTTTACCCTAACTTAACTTTTCAGGCTGGGGCTGTTTTTCAAAAGATGACTAGTGCGCGTGAAATAGAAATTTCCTACACAGACTTCTCTTCAGTGAAAAAGCTGACTTCTGGTCTTACTTTATCACTTGTGCTATTTTCAAAAGGGTCTCACACGAGTTATCTCATTCCATGATAGCTGGGCAATAGCTTTAATTCCTGTCTATAGGGGAATGAAGCTATGGTGGTGAAGTGATGTTAGAAACTGAGTAAGTAAATAATGCCCAAGTCTTCTGACTGAACACTATGCTCCATTAATACTTATACCTGCCATCTCATCCCCCTCTTTTCCAGACTGAATACATGGTAAGCCCCATGCACCCCATTTTCTTTCACTTTTATATCACTATTATCCAGAAATGAACAAATGAGATAGTCAACAAATATTTATTTGGTGAATAGCTAACTTTCACCTTGTAAGTGTGAGGGAATGAATGTGAACTCTAGAGTATAGGCAGACCAGGGTTTCAGTTTGACTCTTGTATTTATTCCATGTGTGATCTTGGACAAATTCCTTCCCTTCTCCGTTATTTTCATTATTATCAAAGATGATAATATCTAACTTCAAGTCCATTACTTGTACTAAATGAGATAATGTGGAGATCAGCTCCCTCCCAGATTCAGAGCAGTCTTCAAGAAATAGCAGGTTTCATTGTATCCCCTGCTCCAGGAGTTGATTTGATTCTCCACTCTGAAAATTACTGAGTGCAGGAAATATCAAAATACGGGAATCTAAAGTATGGTAGGTTAATCCTTAAAAGATTACAGTAGATGGACTATAATGATGGCACATGGGGATTACAACTGAGATGGAAAAATGCACAAAATGGTATAAAAATAAACTATTATTTATGTAAAAAAAATTACAGTAGAACTGGGACATCAGAGAGGGAGGGGAAGGGAAGGAAGATTGAGATAGGATGGGGGAGAAAGCAAAATGGACTGTGGTGGGGAAAATCCTATAGTTCTAAAACACTAATAAGTATGCAAACCAATGTGAGGGGGAGGGGTGGGGAATGTTGTTTTCGGATATTTGTAATAGCAAGAAATTGGAAATAGCATAAATATTCATCAAGAGGATAACGATTAAATACTTTCAGATACAGCTAAATAGAATATTATCTTTAATATTATTTTAAAAATCTCTTTTTGTATGGAACACTTTGTGGTATTTTAAGTAGAAAAAAAGGCACAGAACACAAATTATATACAAACATTACTATCCTTTGAGAAAAAAAATATAGATGGTTAGGATTTTTCTGAAAGGCTGGTAAAAATAGTTGTCCTTAGAAGGGACATAAAGGAGAGAAGTTGGGAGGGAGGAAGACTTTGCTTTCCTTTGTAAGCACTGTGGATTTTGTATATAATGGCAATACATATATTGCTTATTCTGTTAAACCAATCAATCTGTATTATTTCTATACCAATAAATCACTGATGTCTTCTGGCATCAGATAGTGGGATTGCTTTTCTTACGATTGCATTTTCCCCCACTTCAGGTGGAAATACTGACATCTTGTGGCCTTTTTAGGTAAAGCTTCTAGATATCATTAAAATCAGAATTTTCACCATTCCATTCCCAGGAGACCTTGACAAGCATATAGGGGCAGGGATCTGGAGGAGGTGTAAGAGGAGGGAAATACCAGAACATCGCATAAGGCATAACAGAGGACAGACTCGAGACAAAGAATCAAAAGCATATTAGGAGGAAAGTCCCAAACCACCAATTATGAAACTGCATGACCAACACCACCCCTAGGCCCAAAACCTCAATACTGATATAGAAACCCTGATGTGATCCTCACTTAATGGCAACCCTTTAAAAAAATAATAGTTTAGTTTTACATCATTTTGTGCCTTTTCTATCTCAGTTGTAGTTCCCGTGGGCTTCCCATCACCAAATCACCAGTGTGCCATCACCAGTGCACTTCCCTCCCCCCACCGTTTTTGATCCCACTCCCCAGTCCACCCCCGTAAAATGTCTCTGGTATATAGTTGTTCATTATTATTATTTTCTCCCCTGGTACTTTATACTCCTGCTATGAGTGAAACCATCTGGTATTTTTCCTTTTCTTTCTGGCTTATTTCACTAAGCATGATCTTTTCCAGCTCCATCCATATTGCTGCAAAAGGCATGTGTTTATTTATTTTTTGTTGTTGTTGTTGAATAATATTCCACTGTGTATATGTACCACATCTTTTTAATCCAGTCATCTACTTTTGGGCATTTGGGTTGTTTCCATGTCTTTCCAGTTACAAATAAAGCAGCAATAAACATGGGGGTGCAGGTATCTTTTTGAATCAGTGTTTTTGTGTCTTTTGGGTAGATACCTAAGAATGGGATTGCTGGGTCGTAGGGAAGCTCCATTTTTAGCAGTTTGAGAAACCTCCAGTTTTCCATAGTGGTTGTACTAGTTTGCATTCCCACCAGCAGTGCAGGAGAGTTCCTTTTTCTTCACATCCTTGCCAACATTTGTTGTTGCTAGTTGTTTTCAGATGTAATGGCAACCCCCCCTCTTTTTTTTTTTTTAAGTATTTATCTATGCACACAAGAACTGGGGTATAGGCCAGAGTGCAAGGGATAAGAGGATCCACCAGAGACAGAATGGGGTGCAGAACATGCAGATCTACTGTAATATTGAGGGTAGCAGTTGGCGAGACAAGAGAGGTCTGCCATAACATATGGGTCACCCCGGCTGGGGATCTTGCTGCAGTGGCTGCAGACAGCTTCACAGTGCTGTGCTTTAACCCTGCTCATTTTAACCTGTTGCACCACCAGGGAGGACCCTAATGGCAACCCTTTTTCAGGATCCCTCTCTTGCAGGAGCTTTTCTGACTCTTATCTGTCCTTGCACAAAACTCTCAGATCTGCCTGGTGCTGGCAAGAGCTGGCCTGTTTAGTGGTTCTGGGATTCATTTTTTGTTCACCTCTCTTAAATATTTGTTGAATGCCACCCTGTGCATTTGTCCAATGCTTTAAAGCTTACAGCGTTTCAATAAAACTCAGCCTCATTTATTGAGCAGGTATGAGCTGCGGGTCTTGGAAGTCCTGTAGTCAGGAAGAAGGCACAGAGCTCTGGCAAGCCTGTTTCCAGGGGGAGCGTCAGCACTGTAGAGTGGTTAATATTGTTTCCCTTGGGGCCTACAGCAGGCTGAGTGGTCAGGGAAGATTTCCTAAAGGATTATCTGAGCTGAGCTCTGCAGAATGAACCAAAATTGGCCAGATGAAAGGGGAATGGTAGCTAGTGTGGGGTGGGGCACTTGAAGCACTGCTCACTGTAAAGAGTACACTGTATAGAAATTTTTTTCTTTTTCTTTTTTGTAAAGCATGTTTGAGGAATGGGTTTAAGGAATGGAGTGTTCACTGTGGCTGAGATGTAGAGTAGAAGGTGCTTAAGAATGGGAAATAATGCCTAAACAGAGAGCTCAGTGCAAGTGCAAATGCAGCAGGAATTTGAATTAAAAACTGACTTTGGTCCTCCCTGGTGGTACAACAAGTTAATGCACAGCACTATGAAGCTACCCGCAGACACTACAACATGAGTTCAATTCCTGGCCAGGGAGGTGACCCACATGGTGTGGCAGATCTCTCCTGACCCACCTGCTGCTCCCCTCAGCAGTGTATTTCAGTACAGTGGGGAGTTCTGCTCCTCATTCTGTCTCTGGTGAATCCTCTCACCTACTGCACTTCTAGCTTGTACTCCAGTTCTTGTATGCATAAATACATAAATCTTCAAAAAGAAAAAAGAAGAATTGACTTCACTGCAATTTCTCTTTCTCACCATGAAGGTTTTGCTCTGTGAGTTATTCCTGGTCCCCAAGCTAATGCTCTGCTTCTCCTAACCAACTCAATGGTGGTCCTTCTCTCCCTCCCTTTTTCCCTCTTTCTCTTTCCATTCTTTCCTTCATTGCATTTCTTCCTTCAGAAGAGCTCGTCTTCTATAGCCTTGGTGCTGGGGAGGTAGGGGAAGGCTTTGGGTCCACAGGGTGATAACGAAGTTCTCAGAGGAACTAGTTATCTTGATAGATGAAGCTAATAGTTGAGACTGACCCCCACATCAGAGCCTATCTCCATCCCCCAGCTTGGTGGAGCCAGGGTGGTGCTCAGATGCAGCTGGGTGAGCCTTGGCATTAAAACTGTGAGATAGCCCTCTGCCTGTGCAAGCCAGATGCCACATTTTAGAGCTGATGGTGTGTTACCTTGTTTAACATCAACAACAATCCCATGAGGAAGATATCATCCCCATCTTACAGAGAAGAAAACCAAAATCAGAAAGGTTAAGTCATTTGACCGGTGCTGGTAAGTGCTTGAACCAGCTGGTAAATGGCAAAATTGGGCTCTGCTGGTCTGAACTCAAAGACAAGACTGCTAATCCCAGCTCACAGGAAAAAAATAGGTCTGCCTGTAATAGACACTTCCTGAAGTGTGCTATGGGAAGAACTAAAAAGCGTGTTAAGATAGCACTGGGTCAGTATGACCCATCCTGAGCTGGGGTGTGTTCTCACAGGGCTGACCCAAAGGCACAGCAAGTCTGGAGGGAGAACTTGCAGGAGGAGGAATCCCCAGGTGCTGGACTCCGTGGCTAGTCTTCTTTGTGATAAGGTGGGGTGACCACCATCACAACCCCCTCTCCAGGTTCAGAGGGCCCTGGCCTCACTTACTAGGCAGGCACAA